GCAGCTTCCAAAACAAGCCAGCCTGGAGACAACATCCAGCCCAGGTGATTGCAGCCTGAATTAAGTCTGGCAAACTGCAGGCAGCCCCGTCTGCAGTTGCTTATAAATGAAAAGCACCAGGTAAGCATAGCAGAGTTGCCAAAATGCACCCATCTTGTGCTCTCAAGAAAGGCTCCCATCTCTCTGCGCCGTACCTGGGCACCCACCCTGCTCCAGCTGAAGGTTGAGAGTTTTCCTGCCACTGCTCATCACACTGCATGCGAGTGCAACACTTTGCACAGGTCCTCCGTGAAGCACACTATTTTCATGTCATTGCTACCATTACCCTAATCTGTACCCAACAATTAGGGATGCTCAGATAACAGCCCAGGCCTCTGCATAGGTTCCAGGGATTTTATTCTTCCCCTGCCCTTGCCTCTCTCAACCTATTACTGCTGTACAAACAAATCTCTCACTTTTGATAGGCATCAGTGTTTTCAGTCTTCCACATGGACACATAGCTTTCCTATTGTTTGACAGTTAATTACTTGTTAATGAGCCCTGCTGCTCTGGGATCTATTAGCTGGTATGTTTACACTGACTTAGGGCAGCTGAGGAAAATGAAATACTGCAGGTTTTTGCAGAGGCAAGCAAAAATTGTGACTTACAAAGTTGTTAACTGCCTGGAGACAGATTTTTCTCCTTCCACCTCTGCACTCCTTTTCCTTGTACTTCCTGGTCATGGCTTTGAACCCTTTGGGATGACTCCTCCGCTGTACTTCGACAGAAAGCTCTTGGGGCCGAGATGGCCCGTGCTCTGTTTGTACCATACCTAGCACAGTGGCCTCTAGCTGTTAATGACCTTCCCAGCCCAATTTAAAAGACAAGATGGTAAGCGATTCAGGAGACCTGTAGCTAAACTGGCTACTCGTGATAGTTTTCAAAGCAGAAGTGCAGGGAAAGATTCAGTTGGTCATAAATCTTCATGGTCTTCTGCAGCAAACACTTCTTGCCCACCTGCATGCAGGATCTTTGTCCCACCACTGATAACCTTCTCTGGTGCATGCCGCACGTTTCCCAAGATCTGGAGGACTCCTCCTTCCCCCCCACTTGGGTCACAACATGCACAAGCCTAGTTAAGCCAATTCTCCCTTTCCTGTCAGGACCAGCAAAGGCATTAAAGGACCAAAGCAACCCTTCTTTGGAGCTGGTGTCAAGGAAGCAACCCCTTCATTTATGACCAGAAAGGGCAACCCTCTTTTCTTCTTCTCCCATGTCCTTCAGTGGTCTGGGTGACTGGACTTGTACCATGATGCTCCATGGGTTACCAGCCATAAATGTCTCAATGGAGAACATCCCAGTCCACATTTTCTACATCAAACACCAATTGCACAATCCCTTAAGCTATTAGCAAGGGGCCAGGAGCAGTACAAAGGCCTTGCATTACGGTGCTGAACATTAAAGGAGCATCCTTTGTGTGAATAATCTCTGGAGTAGAGGATTTGTAGAGCTGGCAAGTTGCGACCTGCATCAGAAGACTTGCCCCAACTCGGAGCAGTTCAATCCCCTACCCTTGCTCATCTCCCCACTTTGAAGATCTCACTTCTCCTAATAAAAGAAAATCCCTCCCCTGGTTCAGGCTCGGTCCTGTTTGCCGAGTACCAATACACTGCCTGCTGCATTTCCTACAGAGAAGCCAATGCACCGCTGCTTGCTTCCCAAATGGAAGAGGAACTCGATGACACCGGTTTGTCTGCTCAGGAAAGCAAAAAGCCACGGCACTGCCAGTTCCTGTGCGAATGCTGGCTTGTGCTTTTAACGGTGCTGGTTATTAAAATAAAAACATAAGCTGCTAGAATAAGAGCACAGGTGCAAATGGATTTGCAAAGTGTGAACTGCAGCGTGTACATGCCTGGCGGGTGTGGGGGGATGGAGGCAGCTGCGAAAGCAAGAGCCACCACATGTAGGTGTTGGAAGCAGAGGCAGCCTGGTGCAGGGGACTGAAGGGCCTGTATGTGCCACTGGGATTAGGCTAGGCTAGAAATCTGGCACTTATCTAACAGCAAATGCCTTTCATTGCCTATATAATTTGAAGGTACATAGGGCTTTTGACAGGCATCCATGTCCATACATAAGCATGCACATTTAAGGCTGCACCCAGGGCCTTAAATGATTTGACAGCATCTCTCTTAACTGTAAAATCTCAGCTTGCTCCTCTAGGTACAAACATAGCCCTAAGCTTGCCAGGAAGTGTCAGAGCTTCATAAATTCTCCGAACAAACCTCCTATTCTTGCCACTCCGGCAGAATTATTAAATCTATCAGCCACAGATGAATGTATCAATTTATCTTAATTTCTGAAAATACACTGAGCCTCTTTCAGTTAAAACCTCATTTTTCTGCCACACAATGGAAGAAGAAAGGGGGTCTTTGCTGAGATTAATTAGAGGGAATTTAGCCCGCCATAAATTACCATCTCTGGACTGAAATAAAACGCACTGTTTCAGAAAGGATAAGCAAACAGATGAATGAAGTAGTCTTATTTCCTGCAGATCAAGCAGCACGACTGTCTGTGAAGGCATTAGAAAGACAAAGGGCTTGCATAACCACTGTCATCACTCTCAGAAACTAGCGTTTTCAAAGGGGACCAAGGGAAAGAGGATGAATGCCACCTCTGCCCCCTCCTGCAGGGAATTGCATTACGACACAATTTCTTTACACATAACACGGAGCGGATAAATGGATCCGACTGTAATGGCATCTCCAAGGGAGGATTTATTCTTCCTCCTCCCAACCGAGCGAGGACAAGAGACCTCCAATATGGCTTTATTACTTTGCCTTCTGTAAAGAATAGGAGAAAAAAGCGTTGTTTGTTGCGCAGTAATTGCCCAATGAATGCAGCGCGATTGGTCTCTGAACGCCATGAAGTCGCTCCGATTTGGTGAAAGAAACAAACAAGACAGGACTGTTCGCCGGGGGAGGGACTTTGGCTGCTTCCACCAGACTGTGCATTGTCTGTCTAATCGCTGCGACCATCTGTTGGACCCATGCTGAGGCATCTAGTTCATTTTGGTGGCACCCTGGACCATACGACCGAGAAACCCTAATGGAGTCTCTTAAAGGAAACTGCAAATTAAGCCCCCGAAAAGCAGAATTAAGCAGATTTCTTTGCTGAATTCCTCCCAGGCTCAGGGCGGGGCAGGGACGAGGGTGACGTTCAGCAGCTTGCATGAAGCAGTGGAGTTGGTGAACCCTCAAACTAGAGCACGTTTTGACTGGCTCAGTCTTTCAACAAATAACTGAACCTCCCCATAGGCAGGTGAACAGTCAAAGTCATCACGCGCTACTCTACTTCCCAGTTCCTGGGGGTTTATGCAAGCTGAGTTAGTGGTCACCATCTAGTTCCTAGCAGACAGGCACCGAATCAATTGCTCCAAATTTTCTAAACCGGTCTCACTTTTCTGCATCAGGATAAAGACCAGCAGCTGGGTAAGTACAGCAGTGCCTGCATGCTGGGCCTTGTCCAAGTGACAAAAAGGATTACACTCTTTGGGGTATGTATGTCCATATTGCACAGGGCAGGATACTGCAGACATGCCAGAGCTAGCTCAGGTTATGGGAGCATGCTTCTCGGGTAGGATTTTCCCAGTGGGGCTCTGTACTAACATGGCGAGGAGGCTCCTGGTACCCGAGATCAGTTGGCATCTGGAACTCTTACAGGAGTTAAATATATCGTTGCATTGGGTATTGTATTTAAAAGGTGCAAGATTCGCAACTAGCAAGACAGTGGGAACATATACCGTTGCACTGGGTATTGTATTTAAAAGCTAAGAGAGCAATACACTGCCATGCTTCAGGATAAGAACTGGCCCGCATGGCGAGGAGCAGCACAGAAGAAATTCCCCTTGCTGTCACCTGTCTCGTGCTTCCTGCCAGAGGCCAGGTACTGGCCTCAGCGAAGGACTTGTTTCATCCCGGGCGGCAGTTCCCAACTCTTACAGGAGTTCCAGAGCCAGGACAAAATGCACCAAAGCAGAGCATCTCAACGTGCACGGTGAGGAGGGGAGGGTTTCTACACACCCAAGGCTGACAAAGCACGCAAGATATATGGCATTTCAGCAGCATCGCTAATAGCAGGTTTCCTGAGATCCGGGAACATCTGGGTGTTTAGCAGTCAGTCACTTCTGGGCCAGGAATAGCTCCTTTGTGCGACAATAACTGTGCCCTGTCAGAGGTGCTCTCAGAAATTTGGGAATTGCCCCCCCTGGATGAAACAAGTTCCCATTGAGGCCAGTACCTGGACTCTGGCAGCAGCCAGACACAGAAAGCACGAGACAGGTGACAGCAGGGGGATTTCTTTTGTGCTGCTCGCCCAGGGGCTAGTTCCTATCCTGAAGCATGGCAGTTTACTGCTCTCTTAGCTTTTAAATACAATGCCCAATGCAACCGTATATGTTCACACTGTCTTGCAGGAATTCCAATAAACTCGTGGCTTTGTGACATCCAGCGGCAGTGGGTTCCAGTTTGATGGGGTCGTGTACACATGTTACTTTACCCATGAGCTTTTGCATGTCGGGTTTAATGAATGTCCCTCTGTTCTTGAGCTGTATTTCCATTTACCTCTTCTCATGCTATGGCATTTTTATACCCATTTTAAATACTCTCTTCCTTCCCTTGCTAATCCATGGTCAGACAGCCTCACTAACTGGTGCTATGACCAGCCCCCTCCCCTGTAAATGCTGCTCCTAGCATAGACCCTGGCGGTGCCCCTGGCATTTGTTCTGTTCACTATAAATTGACTAGATCATTAATGCTTCTTTGTTTTAAACATCCTTTTATTACTGTGCCAGTTCTCTTGCACATTATTCCTTCACCCCCCCCGCCCCAACCCTTCAAACATCCTTTCGTTACATCCACACATACAAGATCATGAGATAATTTGTGCTCCATGCCTCAGAGCCTTTTTTTCTTTTCAAGATCTTTTCAAAGCAAAAAAGTAGTTTCCAGAGAAATGTGGCTCACCTTAAAGGATATTTCATACTGTTCTCCTCCCCATATCTCCAGACCTGCATCATACCCTCCCAGCTCCCAGAACCACTTTCTATCGACTGCAAACAGTCCTCCGGCCATTACAGGAGACCTGGAGGAAAAACCAGACTCCGCATTACAAACATTAAAAGACACAGAGCCCCCGCTCAACATCATTAACAAGGAAAAAGAGATCCCATAAATATTTCTTGCCTCCCACTCTTGCCAACCAAGGAGCTATGCTCCCTTCGGAGTGACTAAAAGCCACTACTCAGGCCATGTGGTTCACCCTCAAGTGACACAAAGCCCACCCTTACCTACGGGGACTCAGGTTACATATCCCCTGCAAGAGGCCACAAACCAAACCTGGGTCCCATGGCGGGATTGCGGTTCTCCAGCCTTTGGGTGCAGAAGTTTGACAAGGTGCTGCTGTCCTTTAATGCCAGCAGCAGGGCAATTTGTTAGAAAAATGATTTCTGCAATGCACTGTAATCATCACAATCCCTCTAATTAGCATTCTGCCTCTTTTTTTTTTTTGAACCGGGGAACAACATTCTTTACTAGCTGCAGTGTGTTTGTTGTTTTTGGCACAGCGTTAGGGATGCTAACGCGTCTTTGAAGGATCTTGGTAGTAATTGACTGTATTAAATGTTACGCATTACGACTTTAATGAAATATTAACTTCTGCAGAGATTAGGTCTGCAAAAAAACAGCCGTAAAAAGGAGAGTGTTCACAGCCACTGGTCTGAATGAAGCCTATTACCTAACAAAATAAGTAACAGAGAGACAAAGGGTACCTGACTGCCAGCTTGTGACTCCCAGAAGACTGAGGTCTAAGCCAACCCTGTAACAGGGCACCTTTTGTTAGCCAGCTATTACCACACCGCGTTTCAACAACTTACTCAAAAGGGTCACTGGGATCGGGTTTCTGTAACTCGGGAGGAATAGGGATCCGCTTGTAATACATCTCCCAGTCAAATGCCCCCCGCATCGCATCGCCAGCTTGGGTCTCATATCCAAAGTGATCATGGTCAATCACATCGATCATTGGGCACACGATAGTCTTGCGGTTCCGGGCGATGCGGTCTGGGGGGGAAAAAAAAAATGGTCGACAAGACTGTTAGGAAAGCCTCCTACCAGGAGGTCCCTGTCACCACTAATTAGAAAATATCACATCTACAGCTTTAGGTTGGCTCCTCTTAATACATCTTCATGAATCATGGAAACTGCCTCAATCAGCATGGAGGACTGCTTCATTTTGCTGTATTTCTATTATTCCCCCTAACTGCAGGTGGGCAGTTTGGTGAATATAACAGTCTAATACTGGCTACAGCTAGGTGCCATGAGATGCCCGACACACCTCCGCTTGGATCTGGGATATTTCTGGTTCCAAGGAGGCTCGTGCTTCTCTTGGACAGAGGTACCACCTTGTACCAACTTACCCGGCGTTTCATGTATTTGACACCCCGAAGCATTTAAGTCATGCCGACTCTACAGAAATATCGGGCGCTAATACTACAGTGGGCATCACTAAGGTATCAGAGACAGAAAAAACCCAAACCTCTCTCAAACCCACCCGCTGATCCAGTGCTGCTTAATGTGGCACAGTATGTACAGAGTGACTTGCACGTACCAAGTCTGTTGTCCCTGTTTTGCCATGAGACCTGGATGTGAACCCTGCTTGCATTGGTCCAAAGCTACTGTGACAGCACACTGTGCCACTTCACTCCAATAACCTTTCCAGTGCCGTGCTCGAATTGGGCAGGAGGCAATTCAGACTAATGGCATAACGAATCTTAGCAGCATCTAGAAATACAGCTGTGCCTCCCCCTCAACCTCTTCTTTCGGCTGAACAGTGCAAGACAGGACTCATTTCTGCCTAAACATCTGGAACTTCTTAAACACTGTTTTTCTTAGCTAGATGTTGCTTTAACTAGAGGTTGGCTTGTTTAAGAGCTGAAGCAGCAGATAATATATTTTAGACTCCATTGCACTTTTGCAACAAAAGCCCTTTTTTTTTTATAAATATAAATAAAATTTAAATGGCATTTCAGCTAATTTTGTTCCCATTCCCTGGGGTGCAGGAAACTGCAAATATTTTACGCTGTGCAGAATTAATGCTCAATGCAAACCTGATGGGCTGTGAAAGAAACAGCATTACCATTTGAGAATCCAGCTGACAAGTTTTCAACTGCATTTTTCTCTGCATGTGCCTACTGTTGCCATGTTTTACTAGACGGATGAAATTCCCACCTCAAGGATGGTTGCATTTTAATGGCACGAGTCACTTGCAGCAGGGTTGTGAAGCGCCTGGATTAAAAATGATGTCGAAAACCAACCGCCATGCAACCTGAAGTTGACTGGATGTTGGAATCAGGCGACTGGCTTTGTAGGCGAAGCCCTTCCAGTCCTGGGAGGATCTCTAACACCGGTCCTGGCACGGTTCACGCAGCAAAAGGAGGTTAAATGGCATCATCCCACTCAAGCTGATTGCGGTGCTAAACTAGGCAGCAATTTGGCACAAGTAGGAGCCTCTTTTCAAGAAAGTCCCAGGATCAGCGAAGTAAATGGGCGGCAGGTCAGAACTAAGATATGCAGGAAACAGGCAGCTTCTCTGAAGAGGATGTTCTTTGTTTAACAAGTTACGTGCAAAAGGAGTTTTCCTTATGGAGACTAAACATACACGTTCAGGGCATACGTTCCAACCTTTGTACTACCCACCCCCAAAATATTTCCCACGTGCCTGTGGGCTATGAAGATACTTTAAACGTATTTCCCTATAACCAGAGTTGAGTGCTTTTCAAAGCAAAAAAAAAAGAGAAACACCAGATCCACTTTGCGCCCAGCCACCAGTTCCTCTCCCCAAGCTACAGACTGACCACTTAAATGACCTGCTTTTCCAAGAAACTATCAATTATGCAAGATTTCTCTTACAGGGGAGAAAGGCAAACACGATCTCTGCTTTAAATTAAACAAAACCAATTTAGGAGGCTATTGGGAGCTTTATGACTTGCACGGAGAAATGCACCGCGCTGGAGGCTATGAGGTGCTGACCATTCTCCTTGGATTTTCTTAGAAAGCCAGGTTTCTGGCTAGTCATTTATGGCCTTCTTTGGACACTTCTGAAGGAGAAGGGCAGAGACCTGGACAAACAGCAAACCCAATGCTGAAGTCTATCAGGCTGAAGAGCAACTTTGGACAACATTTCAAGTCACTTCCTTACCTAGCAGAGGCGGTAGCCAGTTGACGTTGGCCTCGCAGTGAGAGTCCAAGAAGGTGATAACGTCTCCTACTGCCACAGAGGCACCCAGCATTCGCGTTCTTATTAACCCTTCTCTCTTCTTGGTTCGGAGGATCCTCACGCTTGGAAACTGGGCCATATAATCCTCCAGACGCTTCTTGAGATGTTCTGTGGGTAAATGAACCGAAAATTCAAGGTGGCAGCAACTGCATCTTTAAAATGTCTTTATTCTCTCCCCATGCCTAAAGGTCATTTTTGGGGATACAGTACAGAGCAGCTTTTAACTATTGCTTTAAGAGGAAAGAGCTTTTAAGCAAGGCAGAAGGGGAACAGCAGCATATATTTCAGCCCACAAAGTTGAACGTTCACTTGCGTTCTGCACTTTTGGAGACAGACGTGAGAACAAGGTAAGCAGTGGACTCAATCCTTTAGAACAGTTTTGAGAAAGCCAAAAACCTCATGGGATTAGTTTTCCTCGAATCTTGTCAAGCGCCCAATGTTCACGTTCACTTCTGCACAAGTAGAAAGTGAACCCCTCTCTTCCCCGCTGAGCCCTCCTCTTTTACAAACCAGCAAGAGAAAGGGATGTGGTTAAGTGTGGGCAAGGCGCTCAGATGCTCCAGTGCCTGGGGTCATACAAGCAACTATAGATGCAGATATGGGGAGAGGCATTTCCTGGGATCCTTGTGCCACTGCGCACGCCCCTGGCCAGCCCTCAGCTGGGGTATCACGGGCAGTTCTGGTCAATCACTTTCCAGAAAAATGAATTCAAAACCGGCCCGGGGGCAGAGGAGGACTACAGGAGCAGTTCTCAACCTTTCTGGACTCAAGACACCCCTCCATAATTTGTGAGCTGAGTGGCACCCAAAGGCAAACACAAATTTAGTTATTACAGATTTATCTGTCCTCTTTGCAGAGGGGCTGGGGAGGATCATTCAGGCAGGGACAAACCTGAGACTGCATTTATCTATTTAGCTTTATCTGCATATCTCCTCCTAGATCCTGGCACTCTTCAAAGGATCTGGTGGCACCCCAGGGTGTCCCTCACCCTGCCTGAGAACCACCAGGCTGCAGAGATGGATGGCTTCTTGCAGGGAAACTAAACAGGCTTGGCTTGCTTGGCCTAGCAAAAACAAAAAGCAGAGAGGGGATGTGATTGCTATCTATAAATACATCATGGCAGTAAGCCCCGGGGGGGGAAGAGAGCTACTTACACTGAAGGACAATGTTGGCAGAAGAACAAATGGGTATGAACTGGCCATGAATAAATTTGGGCTGGAAATGAGGTTTCGGCTGATTAGAAAGGTCTGGAACGACTTCCCGAGGGGAGCTGCGGGTACAACTGCTAGTTCGACGGTGAAAGGGATCATCCGACGTGGCGGCCCGTGACTGCAGGGCACTGGATCAGAGCCAGAGGGATCACATCGACTCTCTCTCGGGGCTGCCTGTGTGTACATTAGCTCCTACCAAGCACTCGGGAGAGGCTTTTATTCCTCCTCTGAGCCCTGGCGTCTTATTTTGGGCAAGCACAGGCAATCATGGGAGCTAATACATACCTTGCATTTCAGCTCTGATGCTGCCATCATCTGCACTGATTCAGTTAGTGCAAACCCGCTTGAGTATTCAGCCCTTAAAAGTACTCCTGGTAGCAAGGTACCCCCCCCCAACCCCTTTTTGGGGCCTGATTTAAAACCTCTGGTAGCTTTTCATGGGACAAAGCTCATTTTCATGTTTGTCTGACGTATCAGCAATTAAAATATATGCACAGGCTGGGCGCCTCAATAAAACCTTTACTGCTTCATACTTTCTAGCAAAGACTAATTCTTTCTCCTTGCTCTTTTCAAGTCACTTCTGAATAGAGCCTCTGCAGCAAGCAAGACTTAATTTTCTCTAATTGAGTGGATAAATCTTTCAAAAAAGGGACTCTGAGACCAGACAAGATATTTATACTATAATAGTCCTCATGCAGCACTGAACAGGCAGTAACTGGTTGGGTTTTCTTTAAATGATTAGCAAAAGAAAAAAAAACCCCCAAAACTTTTCGTTATAGCACAGACTGATGTGACTACATTAAGAAAGCAAGCAAAAATCCCCCTCTTCCCCTAACGTTAAGAAAGCAAGCAAAATCCCCAAAGCCAGCCAAACCCACGCTCAAGCTATAAACTCTGCTTGGTCCCAGCTGCCCCGTGCACAGACCAAAGCAACCATCACTGAAAGAGCTGACACCAATTTATATAATAATAAAAAGAGGAATGCAAGAGCTATAGGTCTTGACCCTCCCTACACCGACTCATAGGGATCACTGCATTTGCTTCATTACGGGCCCATGGTCATTACTGCATCCGACGAGCTGGACATAAAACGTTAACGAGTCGCAGATCTGTTGGAGCTTCCCAGGAACTTAAGTGTTGAGGGGCCATGAAACCACCTCTCCTGCTCTACGAGAGGACAAAGGAACAGGACAAACGTCTCGTGCTAAAGAGCTCCGGTCCTCTTGCTTCTTCCCTGCACATAATGCCAAACCTTGTACGTGCTGGTGTTTGGCAGTCTTTCAGGTGCGCTCCACATCGGGGCAGGTGCACCCCGGGTGACATAGGCAGCCAGACTAAAGGACACGCGCTTCCAGCAGTGCGCACCTGCAAGGGGTCAGTAGAAACAGCCACCTTACTCCAACTCTCTTGATGGGGCTGGAGGTGACAGCAAGTGGGAGAGCCAAAGAGAAACAGCCGAGGCCTCGCCACGGCTCTGGAGGCAGCGTGAAGGCTGCTTTACAAATAACTATTGCCAGAGATGCGTGGATGATTAGCAGTCATTAATGAAAAGATAAGAATGAAGGGTTCAGCCTTCTACTGCTGGCTGTCTGGATAAGGGCCGATTCACAGGAGAAAAAAAAGCCCTGTTTAAGATACTCTCTCTTTGTGTTTACTGTCCTCAGCATGTAGCTGGACATCCCACCTAATTGTTTTGCTTCTAACCATCAAACCAAGTAAATAAAAAAAGAGCAGCTTGGAGCTACAAAAATCATTAGACTGGTCTTTTCTTCGCGAGCCAGAGTCCCTTGGAAAGGTAAAACATGCAAGAATTCTCCCCCAACAACCAGGACGGATTTACAGCTACACACAGCGGCTCACGACTGCCTGGCTCCTAGCACTGCATAGTGCATGGCCAAGTAATGCAAAGCCACACAAGCTGGGGCGATCCTTAACCTGTTGCAGTCGATAGGAAAGGCTCTGAAAAATTAGTGGGTGCTGCACGATAGAGCCACAGGCCTTCCTGCCCAGGTGGTGCCTGTGCATGTGATTCGGTGCGCCGTCCTCTGCCGACTGCAAGAGGTGATTCCCCACAGCTCCATCCAGCCACTACAGAAGACACGATATTTCACTAAACACTAATCCTAAATTTGTGATGAAAGGCAGGAGGAGCTAGCAAGGTGCTCCTGTATCCTTTCCTCTGCTAAAGAAAGGTGACAGGGCTTATTAGACCCTCACAGCAGTCCCACACCAAACAGCTGCTGCTTTGAAAGGGAAAGAACAAAAGGGAACCATGCCCGAGCTGCCTTTTCTCTCATCCCCTTCTCCATCTTTCATCTCTAGCAACATCATTATGACAGCATTTTCAAATTTTTGTTTTTTAAGAAGAAGCCTCAAACAAACAGGTTTTTATAAGTCGGCATTAACCGCCACAAAATTTTATGGGGCTTTAAAAAAATATATTATGGCACCTTGTCAGACTGAGTGATTTTTATTACAAGGGCAATTTTCTTTAATGAAAGTTGTTAGGTAAACTGGATGAATTCCAGTGGCTGCACACAGCGCGCAGAGTAATACAGCCATATAAACGAGTGTAAGATTATCTGTAGATTAAAAAAAATAGGCTGGTAGCAGGCTGACAGGCTTTGTAATAAATATGATGTACAATTTATATATTAACATGACTAGTCAGGACTACTTAAATCGTTTGCTTGCTTGATTTTGAGCTGTAAATAAAGCTTCACACAGAGAAGGAACAGCAGCTCCAATAAAAAGGACTGCTTTCAAATTTCACCCACTGAAAGTCGGGCACAACAAAAATGTCTTCTCCTGGCTCAGGTCCGTGTGTATCCTTTGTCCCTTCCCTTTCCTGGAAGCACAGCATCCCGGTGCAAGAGCTGCTTCCAAGTGGCACGAGGCTCACTGCAGCACGGACAGCCTTCCCGGGCTGGCCATTACTCTGCTCCACTCGCCCAGTTTGTGGTCAGGATATTGCATCCTTACCCAGTCAAGTGGTGCCTGTCAGGAGGAGAAAGGGAATTTTGTAATCTAAGACACTCTTAAAAGGCACAATGGGTTCCAGATTTGATGGGTCTTAACCTGATTTCACTAAAAAAAAAAAAAAAAACCCGGCTCAGTCAGCAAGTAAGAAGAAGAAATGCTATTTTTCCTCATTGCCAACCGTGCCAAGTCGGCATCTGACCGTCGATCTGGGTCCATTCCACGTCATGCCGCCACACAGGATAATTGAGCTATTGCCCTTGCTGACTCCCATTCAAACCCAGGGGTGTGTCGATAGCTTGTTTTTACTGTGATGGGAGTTTGAGTAAGTTGGTTTCTCACAAAGGAGCTAGAGAAAGACAGCATGCAATCCTTTGCCTTACAACATGGTTTTAAGCAGCAGTTCTGCCACTGCTTTGACTTAGAAACAGATATTCCCTTCACATGGGCTGCTTTGGCGGTACCAAAGGATTATCTCCGTTTTGGGCTCCATGTGGTTCCAAGCAGCTTGGCAGACCAGAGTAGACCGCTACATGAAGCTTCACCAGGTCATCTCACCACAGGCCAGGAGCTGGAGATAGCTGGCATGAAATATCAAATGAATATATGCTTGGAAACAGTACTGAATGTTATCAGTTGCATGCCCTTCATAGACCTGTATGTCCCTCAAACGGCAACGCAGAATATACATGCTGTACTTTACAGGAGAGCTGCGGTCATGCCACCTTCGGTTGCTGCTATTAGCTTAAGGGGCCTTGAAAAATTAAGCCATGTCAGGCTTGATGAATACTTGAGATGCTTCAAGGAAGAGGCCTGTGCTTCAGAGAGAAGGTGCTATTCTTCACTGAGGGATAAGGGCTGGGGAAGATGCATCACAAGGGAGACTTAAGCACAGGATCTCGGCTAACAGAGCAGAGA